CTCGCATCTTTTGACATTGAACTACTGGAAAGTTCCCTATACCGCTTATTCTTAAAATTTATAAACAATCCTTGATCATGATATCTTATGTTTTTTCCTTTATAAATATTAAAATAAATAATGAATTATTTGATGATTTGTATATTCTATTTGAATACTCCGTAATTCTAACGATTTTCATTATACGAAACTTGTTAGTTATTTCCTGTTTTTTCGCGCGTTCGTTCGTTTAATCCATGCACAATTTTGCCACTTGATATTTTGTCACATTTTAATTTTTATTTATTTTTGTTGTTATTCATTTTTGTGGAGCTGCCCTTTATTTGCACAAACACACACACACGCACACACACAAACTCTCATTGTTTTGAAGCACAAAAAACAAAAACAAAACAAAATATGGGTTTAAACTAAATATTAAAGGGCAAACAAAGCAACAATTGTTGTGTGGATCCAACTGATGCTTCGGCTCTTTTGGCTTTTTGGGGGGCAGCTCAGCTCAGCTCAGTGCTTGGCCAATTGATTATTGTAACTGACGCTGGGGCTACCTTTTCATGGTTGCGGCTTATGGATGCGGCAACCTGAGCACACACAGGTGGTTGCTACTGTTTCTTGTACGTTGTAGTTGTTGCTGTTGTTGTTGCTGTTGTTGGTGTTGTTGTTGCTTTTGTGGCTTGCAGTTCTTTGGTACACTGAAACTGTTAATTAATTCGCGTTCCGATTCGTTAACTGCATTCGAAACACTTTGAAGCGCGAAATTTTGTTTGCTGTTGTTGTTTGCTGACCAGCGCGGCGCGGCGCAAACTTTCAACGGCATCGAGTGGGCGGGTGGCATGAGGGGCGTGGCCGCACGGCAATTACTGCACTGAGCATTAAACTGCAAATCGACTTAGCTAAAGCCACAAACAACCACAACCACAAACAAATTCAAAATTTAAATTCGTCTATGGTCGCATGTTGCTGCCGTCGTTGTTGTTGCTGTTGTTGTTGTTGTTGTTGTTGTTGCTGTTGCTGTTGTTGCTGCTGCTGGTAACGGTTGTGCGATCGGTCAGCGCTTGGCAAACGGTAACAACATTGCCAGTGGAAAGCATAAACGTCCACAGACGACGACGACCACGAACACTGCAGCTGATGCCAGACGAAAGCACCGTTCGCTTCGAGTAACCAAACGCGAATAGAAGACTCTGCGGCCAGCGGCCAGCCAGCAGCAACCTAGCGACAACATCAGCAGCAGCAGCAGCAACATCATCAGCAGCAGCAGCAGCAGCAACGGCAACGGCCGCCAAGAAGCTTAGAAACCCGCTCTGCCACAAGCGTTTTCTTGGCCACAGCCACAGCCAAAGCTAGAGCCAGAGCCAGAGCCGTAGCCGGGGCGATCATCAAATGTTTTGTATATGATATTATCCAATGGTTTCTTCTAATGCGAATCGCCTCAGCGTGGGTTGCCAGACAACAAGCCCAGATGGAGTTCAACGTAAAAACAAGCGAAAACAAATGAGAAATCTTTCTGGAAATGATATACATATTCCCGATTTATTCAATTTATTAATTGAATATTCGTTTTTTTAGCCCATCATAATTACAAGATATTGAATTTCACGAATTGTCATTTCGCCAAATAATCTTAACTCTTTATATGATGCGGGCTTAGAAGAGTATATATTCAGCTCTTTAGTATGTAACTTCATTAGCTAAAGATCGAAAGAGCATAAGAAACATTGAAAATGCTGAATAATATCAGCTTAAGGTAGCATCCAAAAAAGTTAACACATTTTAACTTAAGGTGCCCAACAGAAATATTAATATATATAATTAAATTAAAAAGTAAAATTTTTAGCTTTCTATTTATCTAAAATCTATGGTAATATAAATAACACAAAAATTATGTATAAAATATGTTAAAGCTCTGTATAAAATAAGCCCTAGATATGGCAAGAAATCTATCATTGATTGATATGAGATATTTTAAGATATTTCACATGAAATCAATAAAAAATTTTCCACTGCATTTCAGCGCGTGAATTCTTATAAGAACTTAGCAGTTAGCTCTTTGGTTATATAGAATACTTTAAGCCAAATATGACTGCAAGCCGGGCTTTAAACGTACCTATTCGAACCCGAATTTCTAATTTATTATTTACTATGAATCGAATCTTCAAACAAAACTTTTGAGGGAGAACCAGCACCACCGCATCTAATCAGATGACAATTTTGGGTAGAACCCACAACTTCTCCATGCATTTACGAGTGGCAATATTTTCAGTCGAACAGGCAATTTAAATAGGAAGTTAAAATATTTAAAGTAAAAAATATAATATATATATATATAAACCAAATATATAAAAGCAGTAAACCAAATCAGCAACAAAATGAGCAACATTTTATAATTTATCTAAATTCCCCTGCGCTACGCTCCCTTTCTCTAACTTCATTTACATCCAATTGAAAATTCTTTGCATTGCCATAGTCAATAATTCTATAAAATGATTAATAAATTCTTGAGCAGCCCTCGTAGTCAAAATGATAGTCATAGCTATTGTTGTTGTTCTTGTTGTTGTTGTTGTTGTTGTTATATTTGTTGTTCTCAGCTCTGTCTGCTATCATGTGTGCCGCTGTGTCAGTTGTCATGCCAATTGAACTGGCGTGTTTAATAAATATGAATTCTGGAAGAGAATCCAAGCAGCCCGAAACCGACCAGACGACCGGAGCTCAACAGAGCTGATCAGGCCAAACCAGACCAGAAGATGAGGCCAAGCAGTTGGACTCCTTGTGCTTGTTGCTCCACATGCAATTGGCAACTAGTTGCAACGGTGCTTTGTGCTTCGCTCTCTCTCTCTCTGTCTCCTTCGCTAAGATTGTCTCTTTCGCTCCTGCTGGCATCCAGTTGGATGGCAAAGAATTAAAATAGCACGCCTGGATGCTCGGTTGAATAGCTGGTTAGCCGGACAAACTAGCTAGCTGGCCGGCTCGCCTTGGCCAGTGGACCGCTTGCGGCTGGTTTTAATGAATCAACGTTTAGAACGCGTGCTTCACGGCGGTATTTAGGTGAGCGCTGACCAAAGTTGAGCACCAGAAGCAGCAGCAGCAACAGCAGCAGCAGCAGGTGGACAGCAGCAGCTGGAAAGCGATCTTGATCGGTCATGCATCCAGCAGCGATTGCATGTGTTCCATTTGCGTCCAATTGCGTCTTGTACTCGCATTGTATGCAGCTCTAATTATGAGCTCTTCAGTTTAAATCACCGCATTTAATTGCCTTGGCCGATGTCTTGACTATATGCGTATTCTACAATCGATCGAGTCGAGCAGTCGCCGCGCTCATCAAACGCCTCGGATAGCTGCTTGGCCAGGCACATCGCCAAGATTGGCGTGAATAGTGCTTTAGATGGGGAGAGATTTAGCTGGCTAATTGATAAATGTGACATTTTGTTGACAGCCACAAAATAAACTAGTCAAACGATCCGACAGCAGTCAAGCCAGCAGCTGCAGCGAACATTTTCGCATCGATATTAAGCCAGCGCTTAAACCACTTGCGAATTATTAGCAAAGCTTTTAAGTAGTGAAAAACCAATGAATTCATCAGCTTCGTGAGCTTTTAAGCCTTACTATTAGCACATATTGCTCATCTCCAGATGTTGGCTTAAAAATTAATCTAAGTATGTATATCTTATATATCTCATCTTATCTTTAAGGGCGGATAGTTTAAGCATTGTCTAAAATTTGTTCATTAGTTTTATTATATGACAACGAATAGCGCGATTTTCATTAAAATTGCGTTATTAAAATTTACATTTTTAAATTAAATAATAAAAAATACATTTCACATATATCACATTTGAAAAGTAACGTGTAGTTTAAATGTCTGTCAAACTGTTTCTTTGCTTCAGCTTTTGTGGTATAAATGCACAATATGGCGAGGTTTTGGTTATATTCACGCGGAACTGGATAAAACCTTTGTGATACCTTTTTGCTTAGCACCGGCTCAGTTCCAAACTCATTTGCAAAGATCTTTGTGAAAATGCATGAAATACGTGTTGCTCACTTCCAGATGAAAAATGCAGGTTACATGTGTGAAGGTTCCAGTTTCGTCCGATCGACTTGAAACTCTATTGATAACTTAGTTTCAAGTCGATAATATGTAAAGTATATAATGTATATATTTATTTAAATTTCTAACGGGCGGCGCGAGCAAGGCCGGGTAATAATCGCTGCCGATCTATAGAAACTGCCTTGGAAGGACGCATGTAAAAAGATGCTTGAAGCAAAGATTTTTATAGATTAACTTTTAGGTTTTCCAGATTTTGAGAATATATTCAACAAACAGACACACAAGGCTGGTTTTAACGAACATGCGCTTGTTAGTATCAATAATTATTTATATTATAATTATTATTATAAAAAAGAAAATAAAAATGTCAGCAAAGAGTAAGTTGTTTCGAATAATTGGCTTATTAGTAAGGCTAATAGAATATAAACGAAGTTAGCTTCATTTGAGTGTTCAATTTGATGCTACTTAGTAGCCAAGCAAGACTGATAGAGAGTGAGAGATAGAGAGAGAGAGAGAGAGAAAGAGAGAGGGGGGGGGAAATGATAACAGTTGGCAATACGCTAATGAAATGGGGCAAGTGAATGCCATAAAATTGCATTAGTCGGCCGCAAATCACGACATTGCCGACAGCAGCCAGCTAAGTGGGGAGAGAAGTTGGCATTGCGATAGCTCCGATTCCGTTTTGGCGTCAACACTTGTCGCAATCATTTAAATAAGCACCGTTCGACGGTGTGGCCGACTTTTCCGTAGCAGCCGCCCCCTTACCCAACCGCTGCCGCAATCGCCAAGCAGCCCCAGTTGCTTCTTAAGCGATAAAGAACAAAGCTTTCACCCCATTCAACGGTCACACGAAGTCGCAATCGGATTCGCTGTGCGACTTTTGCTTTTAATTCTTCGCCCAGTTAACAGAAATTGGCCATTTGCGGCTCAGAGAGAGAGAGAGAGAGAGACTTACCAAATGTCTACAGATGCGGCCACAAGCAGCTGAACACAGTCCAGGCAGCCCCTGGCCGCCGCATAATGTAATGCTAATGCGCCTCCGTTGGGCCTTTCGTTGCCAGAAATTGTCCCCGGATGCATTGGGCTGGGCATGTTCATGCCGATGGGCATGCCACCCAGATATGAGTCCAGCTGATGGGCATGCATTCTGTTCAGATTGTGGTTGTGGTTGTGGTTGCTCCTGTTGTTGTTGTGGCTGTTGTTGTGCAGCTTGTTTAGCTTGATGTTGTTGTATTTGCTGCTATTGCTGTGGCTGTTGTGGTAGTTGTTGTGCTTCAGCTGCTGATTCGAGCTTAGCGCATAGTCGTTGATCGTTCTGCAAGAGAGTAAATCAAATTAATAATCTGACAAACAACAACTATAGTCAATTTATTTATTTAAGTCTTTGGTATATTTTGCTTTAAATTTGCTGCTAACTCCTTGAACCGTATTAGAAAAATGGCTTCCATTTCAAGCTGAGTAACCTTCAAAAAAGATTGTAAATGCACAAATCTGGGTATATTCTATCAATTTACGTTACTTTTACTTAAAATTATGAAATATGAATTATTAATTATGTTTCTCCTTATTAACTTGAGCTGCCAAATCACAATTGATCGATAACTATCGATACAAAACAATGAAACATCGATAAACCTTTCAGTTCACATATCCTGCTGTCAAATTTCCATCCTTTTAGGTGGATTTACATAAAACACTCAAGCAAACACTTATTCGTAAATATTTTGGGCAGAAAGAAAGTGTGAAGTTAATCAAACGAAACTTGAACTTTCGCCCAATATTTAAGCCCAATTTATCGCCGTGAAGGGTGCATTTTTCAGAATTTTTTGAAACACGCCAGCAACTAATTTTCACATAGATCATTGAAACTAAATTTCAAACCAATCAGTTGGTAAACAAAAGCGTTTCTTACAAACTTCTCCGCCTAATTTCCCGCACTTGCGGGTGGAGTTTTCAATACCCCAATAGTCGCAATTTTGTTTCTGGCCTTAATTGTATTGAAATAGACAGCAGTTGCAAGAGTTGAAAAACCTTTCAATCCAAGCTATCAATTCACAACAGATTTCCAAATTTCTTTCCAACTTCAGCCAACATATCACTTATATATAAGGCAATTCTCTGCAAAGGCACATACTTAAAAGAAATAAAATACACTTTTTTTATACATATACGTTATCATATTTTCTATAGATCGCAACGATTTACCACTTGGTGTAAAGTTGATAATGAGCTGGAAAGATACTCTTTATTATTGATTGCATACTTTTGACAAGCACAAAAGAAAATTTTGTAGCAGCCTTTGCAGCGGCAAACGAAAGACTTAAGACACAAACTTGATGCCAATAAGCACGCAACATTTTCAAGAGTCTCGTTTTTTTCACACGATTAACAAAGCAAGCCATGATGAAACTGCAGCCGAAAGTTGTCAAAAAGATTGAATTTTGGCTTAGCAAATTTGCCCGCCTTTGTGGACGGACGAGAGTTAACGGGGTCGACTCTGGCCAATGGGCGAGCGCGCTGAGTCATTGCAACAGCACTTGCCGCTGGGCAAGCCCAAGCGGAATTGGGCGCCACTTCCGCCACCGAGGGCAGCAAAACTCGAGCAAGAGTCATAAACTTGACTCTTCACATACTAAACAGCAGAAGGCAACAAATAAATTAATTGGGTGCTGAGGCAGAGACGAGAGACGAGCCGCAAAACGAAACCGAACTTGTTGCTGTTATTTCTGTGTCTCAGCTAAACGAAGAAAGAAACTAAACTAATGCCACTGCCACAGCCACTTTCTTTCGCTTTATTGCGTCAACACTTTTGAATTAGTTTGTCGAAACGAGCCGCTTGTAGCAGGTGCCACAAGAGGGCGGGCACAGGTGCACAGCTGAGAACGCGATTTGGCCGCACAGAACCGGGCCACTTGGTCAGCCAAATGTACGAAAATGTGTTAGAAAACAAAACAATAAAATTACAAAAACCTAAATAATTTAAAAATGTCATGAATACTAAAGTCGAAAATTGACAACAAACAGGATACCCTGTAATTAGGTCTGTAGACTAGTAGAATACACATGCTTAGAATAAAATAAACCCAAGTCTAGTAAATAGGTTTTGAATGACTAAAGCCTAGTAGGATACCCTGGCGTTACTTTTGAAGTAAATTAAGACTGGATCCTTTCTGTAATAAGATTTTAATTGACTGAAACCTAGTGGAATACCCTAGAACTTGGTTTCGAGTAACTAAACGTATTAGGATACCCTGTAACTAGCTGTGAAGTAACTTAAGCCTTGAAGGCTACCCTGTAAATGGACTTCACTTAACTTAAACCTAGTGAGTAGGATTGGAGTAACATAACCCTAGTAGGTTACCCTGTTGCTGGGCTTAAAGTAACTCAAACCTAACAGGATACCCTGTAATTGGATTACGAGAAATCGTACAGACATATTCTCTAAAACCATTACACTAGAACGCTGTCATAAAAACATGTACATATGTGATTTGCCATAGCTATATCCAATGCCTGTCTAGCTTACGTACCTCAACGTTGAACTAACAAGCGGCAGATCGCCGGTTCAAATCGCGCAAGAATGTAAAAAATCTATGCATTGTTCGACTACGCAATTCTATATCTTCCACAGATGGGACTTTTAGAGTGACCAAATTGTAAGGACTATTATAAAAGAAATTTTGAGTTTAAGAATGATCGTGTTGGGAGTTTTAGATTGACCAATTTGGGAGACTATTGTTAACAAAATTGGGAAGAATATTCAAGACGAAATTGGAAGCTTAATAGTGACCAAATTGGAAACACTATTGAAGAGAGATGAGCTTCTCTCAGCAACATGACACTTTTTTCCACTGTCTGTTACACACACTTAACACTTTTGCAGGGTATTTTGCCGTCTCATAATTGCAGATAGATACTCGGTTGACCTCGCGCACAGGCAATTTAGGAATTAGCTTGACTTTTACCTTAATTTGATGGCAACATCGCGACACTTGACGCATGGCACTTCAGCGACTGGCGCTGCATTTGCTGCTCCCGGGGATCCTCTGCTGACTTGATCTGTGGCTGTTGCAACTGACGTTTCTGCCGTGTCGCCTTTCTTATCACGTTCTGGGGCATTCGCTATGGTGGCGTATTGAGCCTCGGGCTCCAGTTCCTCGGCGTCCGTTTCGCTGGCGAAGTCCACCACCAGCTGTTCGTCGTCTGGCGCCGCATCCGGCTGGCCAGCGTGGCGCCTGCTAAAGTAGCCGACATGCTGCTCGACGCCAGCATTGGCATCCAGCAGGATGCGCTCGTAGGCGGCGCTCTCGTTCTCGCTGAGCGCGAAGCGCTGCTCGAAGACGCGCATGGGCAGCGCGCTCTGGCGCAGCAGCTCCATGCGCTTGTGCCGCAGCTCAATGGAGAATATGAGGCGGACGCGCACCTGGCGGCGCAGACCCTGTTGCGTGGACCTCGCGCGCTGCAGGCGCCGCCGATTGTGGCGCAGCTCGAGCTTCTCGAGGCCGCGCAGCGACTTCTCGGCGACGTCGTTGCTGCGTCCGCTGTAGTCCGCGGCGGAGCTTAAGTCCAAGGCGCTGCGCGTGCGCCGCCAGGGCACCAGATCGAAATGCGAGAATTTGCGTTCGCCCTGCTCGGTCCAGGGATGAAAGTTGATTTGGGCCACGCTGCTATTGCCCTGCCGCAATATCCAGTCTGAGGCAGGGCTGCTTTTGGAGTCGTTGTTGGTCGCCGCGCCTCCCGCGGAGCTTGTGTGCCGCACGTGCGCGTTCTTGGCGCTGGCTTGAGGCCTGTGGCGTTTATAGCGCGGCACCAGCGTCGCCTCCAGCATGCGCTCGTCCAAGCCGTAGTCGCGTCGCAGCAGCTCCAGCTCCAATTCCCTGCTGCTCGCCGTATACTGAGCGCCGTTCCAAACGATGACCGGTCGCGCCGACAGACCCGTAGACAGTGCCCCGCGGCTGGGCATGTTCGCGCTCGCGCTCGAGCTCGTACTTGCTGTTCGAGTTGCAACTGGAGCGGGAGTTCGACTCGAAGTTCGCTTTTCGTTTGCGTTCGAGTTCGCGTTCTCGTTTTGCTTGACGTTCTTGTTAATATTTTCACCCGCTTTTGGGGGTCGGGGCGCGGGGATCGGGTTAACATTCGTTGGTTCTGTTTGTTGTCGCAATTTGCTGATTGCTTTTTAATATTCGCCGTCGTCGCCGCTTTCCGGTTTCCGTTTTTGCCGTCCGACGTCTGCGCGCCGTGACGCCGTCGCCGCAAATGCTGCTGGTCAAAAGCCCAAAACTAACTCCGACTGCGACGGCGACGGCAACTCCGATTCCCAAAGCCCAGGCAGCGAGTGCGCGCCGCCAGGCCGAGGGTTGAGCGTGCGCCCTATGCAAAGCTGCGACGCCGTCGCCGACGTCGACGTCGCTGTCGACGCTGTTGCTATGATTAAGTGTATGTAAGCGCAACATTTTGTTGCTGCTGCTGTTGTTATTTTGTTGTTTTTTTTTTGTTTTGTTTTTGGTGTTTGCTCAACATTGGTAGACACATACACAAAGGCCCCGCAACCCCCTGACACCCCTCGCATTTTGTGCGCTTTTATTGTTATTTATTTATTTTTCACGCTTGCTGCCATGTCACCAGGTCGCAGCGACTGCGCTGCCGACTGCCGAATGCCAACTGACTGCGCAGCCCTCGCGGCGCTCATTTCAAATGTTTCACTTCGCTGCGCACGCGTCAACAATAATAACAACAATAACAACAACAACAACAACAACAGCAGCAGCTCAGCTTTGGGGGCCGCCGCCGCCGGGGCCGATTAAAATAGTTGTTGCTGCTGTTGTTTATGTTGCATGCCCCATTCAAAACTGCGAGTTCACAGTTCTATTCTCAGTTAATTGACAGCGGCTGCTCATTGGAATGATCCTCATCCAATAATGTATAATAATGAAATGCATATTCTATAGGCTAAATTGTACATATGTATTACATTGTATAGCAAAATAATGAATATATGATGTATATGTTTGTATATATTTATCATTTTCAACAGTAGATCAATAAGTTAGCAGACTTTTGAAATAAACTTCCTTGTCAAAAACTATATATGAAATCCTATGTTTCTCTGCATACATCCTACACATATGTTTTATATACGTATATATAATGTATGTCACAAGCATGTTTGTGATTGTTTTGGTCGATTTCTGCGAGCGACAACCTTCGATTGAAGTCAATTTGAATATAGATAATAGAGATGCGTGAAATGCGGTAGAGCAGTCGGAGTCAAAACAGATCTCTTACAATAGACATTGTTATAGATATTTGCATTATAAATGCACGGGGCAAATGTTTATGGCCTGGCCGCCTTTCTAAGCCACATGCTTATGGGCCAACTCCAACTCTGAAACTTGTTTGGCACCCAGATGGCCAGACCTTAATTGCATGCCCCAAGTGTCAACGGATTGGCCCAAAGTCAGGCCAACTAATGGATGTCATCTTTGACATTTTCATTTTCATTTCCATTCCCATTTCCATTTCAATTTGAGCTCTGACTTTATTACAAACCAAAAGATGAGCAAGCGATTATGTAATTAAAGCTATTCAAAGCACATGCGACATTCGGCGAAGGTCGAGGACCGTCAAAAAAATACAAAAATACAAAACATAGAGGATGATGATGGTACAGATACAATGCGCAGGTTTCGTCAGGGCCCGAAATACGGGCGGTGACATTCACCGAAGCTATATAGCTATAGGCCAATGGAAGAGTTGGGAGCCATTGAACCAGAAATCACGAAAACTCTTTACGCTGCTTGAGCATGACTCACGCCCCAGCATAAATGGGGGCCAGAGGAAACAGTATTTCATTTGCGGGGAGGGCTGTTAATGAGCAAGGCGCGAAATCGGCCCAAGACCAAGCGATAGCTACTCCTAACTCCGAGCCAGCTCAGTCAATGGGAACGCACCAACTGCCCACTTGAGCACTGCCTGCTCATTGAATTGACTAACTGACTAACTGACTAACTAACTAACTAACTGACTGACTGACTAACTAACTGAGGGTCTGCTTCTGGGCAAAGTCTGTTGAGGAATCAAAGTCACGCCTGAGTTGAGCAGCATGCAAAAGTTCTACAAGTTTTGCCGCTTGTTGATTACTGCCCACAAAATATACATAAATATATGTACAAATTATAATTCTATACATGTGTATTTATGCACGAGCAGGTGTTTTCCGGCTTTGCCCGGCCGAAGTTTTTGTCTTTCAACTTAATACATCACTTTTTCACCCAATTTTCAGCTGTAGTGAAATTATATAAAAAACCGTTTACACAGAATTTTCCAACATTGAAGAGTTTTTGTTTATGAAATAATATTTTCAAAAATAGTTTGGTTCAAACATAGTTTGGACCAACAGCCAGTTAAAAGTCACTCAATCAGTCAATCGGTACATCAATCAGTACGCAAGTCAGTCTTAATGAATCAGGAATCAGCTAGTAAGTTAATCTGTCACTTGATCAGAAAGTTAATAAGTCACTCGGTCAATCAAACAGTCAATCAGTTTATCAGCCAGTCAGTAAGTCACTCAATCAGTCAATCAGTGAGTCAATCAGCCAGTTAAAAAGTCACTCAGTCAGTCAATAATCACACAGTCAGTTAGTTAATCAGCCAGTTAGTAAGTCAGACAATTAATCAGTCAATCACTCAGTCAATCATTCAATCAGAGAGTAAATCATTCAGTCACTTAATCAGGCAGCCACTCGGAAAATCGGTCAGTCAATCAGTTAATCAGCCAGTAACTATGTCATTCAATCAGTGAATCAATGAGTGAGTCAGTCGGCCAGTTAATAAGTCACTCAATCAGTGAATCAATCAGAAAGCAAGTAAGTCACTCAATTAGTAAATCAATCAGTTAGTCAGCAAGTTAGTGAGTCACTCAATCAGTCAGTCAGTCAGTTAATCAGTCAGTCAGTTGATCAGCCTGTCAATCAATCAATCATCCAGTCAGTCCAAAACCAACTGTTTTATATACATAGAAAAATATATTTATGTATTACGAACAAGATTCATAGTAGTTTTCTCCCTGTTGCGACTTCTCTGAGCGTCTAGCCAAGAGCTTGGCATCTTGTTTGTGAGGTCACGACACTTTTACTTGTTGGCTTTGTTATCAAAATCAGAACACCGCTAACACTGAGCGCTGTCTAACGGTGTTGGCAGCTATAGTTAAGATCTGTTGCTGGTTCGAGGTCTTCGCATTAATGGTCGTCAGGTGGCCATTCACATTTAAATGGGCTTTAAGAATCGATCAGCGCTTTGTTTTTTAGGCTGATAGATTTTCACTTTCCGCACACGAATGGAAAAGAAAGCAAAAGTGAAAGAAACTGTCTACACTTTAAACTCTCGATCTAGCGGCCTAGTATTGGCTGAGCGACCCACTGAGCGGAAGTTCAACGATCAAGAAGCTTCCGCCTAAAACATTTAATAACAACAAAAATCTCCATCTTTCGCAAGTAAATTCCAGATACATAAAACTCAAAAATAATCATAATAAGCAAGTCCGATAAAGCTTTGCAAATGATTTGCCCAGCCAGACACAATCCGCTTGGCAAATAAGCCACTCACATGGCCGAGCATTCATCATTCATATGCACATGCATCGGGCATTCATTTATTTATTCAATCAGTTCATCAGCGGAGGCCCCGGGTGACTGCCGTGAAAGTCCAAGCCAAACAAAACAATTTCTTAACAACTTCAACGACAACAACAACAATAATAATAACAACTAGAAGAAGACAAACAAATAAGCAAAACAAACTGGCAACAAGACAAACAGCTGCCACACGAGGCAGTTGCCACCGTTGGAGTCATGCAGAAGCGCACAATTCACAAGGCGCACAGATAAGCGTACTGAAGTTGCCGCAAACACAACAACAACAACAATGCGAGTACTTGTTGCATGTGACGGGTGCCACATCCCGTGCCAGTTGCAAGAGCTGCTTGCAACAAGCGCAAGCTCTGATCTGATCAGAGCGGATCCGCGTGGATCCAAGTGAATCATTGGCCAGACGAACACGAACGCCAGTCTGGCTTGGAGGCACGGCATCCCAAACCCGAATTCCTCTTGGAATTGATCGCCCGTTCTGAATGGGCGGAATAGATTCCAGATGAAGTCCCATAAGGCTATCAATGGTTAATGAGGTGGACAATGTTTCTCATTTGGATAATATGCCCTTCCACAAACATTTTCAGACAAATCTCTCAGTTAATGTTGTGTAAATTTCCAATACAAATCAGTTTAGCCTTGCATTTTTATTTAACAGAAACTTGTTGCTGCAAACTTGTAGAGTTGCTTTCCGTTTTGCAATCGATACTTCGATTACTCCTAAAGCTAATCGATAACGTGTTTTCTTGCGACTACAAATAGCACTGGCAGGCAAGTGCTTAGCTCATTCGTCTCCGGCATCTGCTGAAAGACGAATCAAATTCATTTTAATTTTCTCCTTTTACGTTTTATCCTTTTTTGATTAATTTTTGAAAATTTATTTGGACGCCAACAAGGATATCGCTTGCAATTTCACCCATATCCCATTACACATAGTAAATTTTAATAAATCCTGGTTTCTTATATATATAAATATAAATATTAAAATATATTTTAAAAAATTGTTTTTTTTTAAGCCCGTAAATGGTGTTTGTATTCAGCCTATGCTGAAAGATGGATGAGTGTACTTTTTTCTTTTTCAGTTATAAATATATTTTTGTAGGCCAAAACGCTCAATGCCAGTAATATTGATTAACAAATTCTCCTTCTTATCGTTAATGTTGTCAATTTGTATCTGGCCATAGCTGAAAGCTGTTATCATTTCTATCCAGCATTTGCTTGGTCAATAGATCGGGTCTTTCTTTTTAATTAAATATAAATATACTCTTTTCTTATATACCAACAAGGATGTCGCTTGCAATTTTGTCAATTTCCCAGCACAAGATGTATTTTAACAAATTCTGGTTTGGCATTTATCTGCAAATGGCATCATTTCTATCCAGCTTTTGCTTAGAGAATATTTCAGGTTGTCCAGTTTTTAATTATAAATAAATTCATTTGCAATTTTCCAATATCCCACTGCCGGTATTATTATATTAACAAAGTCTAGTTACTTTTTAATCCCGTAAATGGTGTCCATTTGCATATAGCCTTTGCTGAAAGATGGATCAAAGTCTTTTCCTTTTGAATTTTAAACATAAACTTAATTTATTTATCCAACAAGGAAACCGTTTGATATTTTTCCAAAATCCCAGTACAATTAATATATTAACTCGTAA